CAGCGTTCCTGCTCCTCTGATGCTGCCTGGCCTGCTGTGTTCATCCAGCTCTACACCTTGTTATCTCACCTTCATAGTAACTCCACCATTGCACTATCTGAAATCTGAAGTTTTGAAGGAGGGTCACCCAAAATGTCAATTCGGCTTTTTCTGCATAGGTATTGCCAGACCTGCCAAGCTTTTCCAACAATTTACGTTTTTGTTTCATGAAATCAGTACACCTCACATGGCCTGGGAATTCCAATTGGACCATTCTACTAGGGTTGGCAGCAACATCGCAGCAAATTGATCTACTGACCTCGTTAATATTGGTCCACTGATCATGGAGCTGCTGTCCTGAAGGCAGCTTCACCTAGAAAGAGGATTTGAGGAGTTGGGTGAGGTGAGTTGGTGCTGCCAAGCACCAATACCATCTATATCAGAAATGAAACAATTATCTTGTGTCTGTCTTCACAGAGGAAGATGGAGAAAACTTCCAGAAATGTAATGGAGCCAAGGAACAAGTGACAATGAGGAATGGAAAGAGAGTACTATTAATAAATAAGCAGTACTTGACAAACTGTTTCAATTGAAGGTTGAACAATCCTACTTGAGGGAGGTTCCTATAGTGATAATGAATGGTCATGGGCACCGCTTTCAAACTTTTATAGATTCTCAAATGGTTCCAGCAGATTGGAAAGTAATCCTCAGAGAAGGCACGTCTGCATTGCTCAATGTTTTGAAAACAGCAGGAAAGAGGAGAACCCAGAGACAAATGCCCAAAACTTAAAAGCGTGTGTGTGTGTGCGCGTGTGTGTATGTGTGTGTGAGAGATAGATAGAGAGAGAGAGAGGGTGGGGGGGTGGATAAAACAGCACAAGAAGAGAAAAAAGTCAAAGATTGTAAATTGATTGGTTGTTGAGCAGTTGCTGTTAGTGATCATATTTCAACTCCAGTATAATAGTCACTATATAGTCACTAAGGTGCAGTGCTCAGATTAGCTCACAGTTCTCCAAGTGGGGTCTAACCAGGGTTTTGTATAACTGCAAGACAACTTCTGCACCCTTGTACTCGAGACCTGTAGATATAAAGGCCACTATTCCATTATCTTTCTTGATTTTTTTTCTGCAACTGTCCATGAGTTTTTAAAGATTTATGCACCTGAACCCCTAAGTCTGTTTGGACATCCACTGTATTTAATTTTATATAATTTATAAAATACCTTGCTCCACCCTTCCTTGGTCCAAAATGGAAAGTCTTGCACTCACTTACATTGAACTTCATCTGCCACAGTGTTGCCCATTTATCCAGTCCATCAATAACCCTTTGTTATTTTATGTTATCATCTACACTGGCTACAATGTCACCTAACTTTGTGTCACCAACAAATTTGGATATATGACTTTTTATACCTTTATCCAAGTCGTTAATAAATGCTGTGAATAATTGAGACCCTAACACAGATCCTTGTAGGTCATAACTGGTTATATTCTGACAATTTGAAGATTTTGCAGCAATGTTCAGCCAGAAGTGCCAAGTGAATGATCCATCTCAGCCTCCTCCAGTGGTCCCCAGCATTACAGATACCAGTCTTCAGCCAATTCAATTCACTCCACATGATATTAAGAAACAGTTGGAGAGACCGGATACTGTAAAGGCTAGGGGTCCTGACAACATTCCAGCAATAGTACTGAAGACTTGTGCTCCATAACTTGCCACTCCCCTTGCCAAGCTGTTCCAGTACAGGTACAACATTGGTATCTACTGGACAATGTGGAAAATTGCCCAAGTATGTCCTGTACATAAAAGGCAGAACAAATCTAACCCGGCCAATTACTGCCCCATTATTCTACTCTCAATCATCAGTGAAGTGATGGAAGGTGTCATCAATAGTGCTATCAAGCAGCACCTGCTCAGCGACGCCCAGTTTGGGTTCTGCCAGGGCCACTCAGCTCCTGACCTCATTACAGCCTTGGATCAAACATGGACAAAAGAGCTGAATTCCAGAGGTGAGAGTGACAGTCCTTGACATCAAGGCTGCATTCGACTGAGTGTGGCATCAAGGAGTCCAAGCAAAACTGGAATTAATGGTATCGGGGGAAAACTTTCTGGTAATTTGAGTCGTACCGAATGCATAGGAAGATGGTCGTAGTTGTTGGAGGTCAGTCATCTCAGCTCCAGGACATCTCTGCAAGAGTTCCTCAGGGTAGTGTCGTAGGCCCAAACATCTTCAGCTGCTTCATCAATGACCTTCCCTTCATCATAAGGTCAGAAGTGAGGATGTTTGTCAACGACTGCACAATGTTCAGTATCAGTCACGATTCCTCAGAAACTGAAGCAGTCCATGTTCAAATGCAACAAGATTTGGACAATATCCAGGCTTGGGCTGACAAGTGGCAAGTAACATTTGCACCAAACAAATGCCAGGCTATGACCATCACTAATAAGAGATAATCTAACCATTGCCTCTTGGCATTCAACAGTGTTACCATCACTGAATCCCCCACTATCAATATCCTGGGGGTTATCATTGACTCAGAAACTCAACTGGACTCACCACAGAAACACAGTGTCTACAAGAACAGGTCACAGGCTAGGAATACTGTGGCGAGTAACTCACTTCCTGACTCCTCAAAGCCTGTCCACCATCTACCAGGCACAAGTCTGGAGTGTGATAGAACACTCCCCACTTGCCTGGATGAGTGCAGCCCCAACAACATTCAAGAAGCTTGACACCATTCAGGACAAAGCAGCCCACTTGATTGGCACTACATCCACAAGCATCCACTCCCTCCACCACTGACACTCAGTAGCAGCAGTGTGTACTATCTATAAGATGCACTGCAGAAATTCACCAAAGATCCTCAGACAGCACCTTCCAAACCCACACCCACTTCCATCTAGAAGGACAAGGGCAGCAGACTTATGGGAACACCACCATGTTCATGTTCCCCTCCAAGCCACTCACCATCTTGACTTGGAAATATTACCATTCCTTTACTGTTGCTGGGGCAAAATCCTGGAATTCCCTCCTTAATAGCATTGTGGGTCAACCTATAGTATGTGGACTGCAGCGGTTCAAGAAAGCAGCTCACCACCACCTTCTCAAGGGCAACTAGGGACGAGCAATAAAAGCTGGCCAGCCAGTGATGCCCATATCCCACAAATGAATTAAAAAATAAATGAGTACCTAACCATTATCCCAATTTCTGTCACCTGCCACTCAACCAATTTCCTAGTCAGGTCAGTAATTTGCCCTCAATTCTGTGGGCATCTACCCTAGTTGACAGTCTCTTATGTGGGACTTTATCAACTGCCTTCTGGAAGTTCATACAACAATAGCCATAGCCATTCTCCTGTCCACTACCTGAGTTACCTTTTCAAAAAATTCAGTGAGGTTTGTCAGGCATGACCATGTCATGAATTGTCATAAATTCATCCTGCTTCTCCCTGATTAACTGAAAATTTGAGGTGTTCAGTCTCCATCTTTGATTATAAACTCCAACAATTTCTCAATCACAAATGTTAAGCTATCTGGTCTGTAATTCCCTTGTTTACCTATTTCGCCCTTCTTAAAAAGCAGAGTAACATATGCAATTTTCCAAATCAGAGGGATGAGTCCTGTATATAGGGAACTCTAAAAAGTTATGGATAGGCTTCTTCTCTTACTTCAACACCCTTGAATGGAACCTGTCGAGTTCTGGAGATTTATCACTCTTTAATTACATTAATTTCCTTATTATCAATATTTTACTTACATTAATTTTATTCAGTCCCTACTAATCCACCATTAATTTCCTTGAGACATCCAACAAGCTATCCTCCTTTGCTACTGTGAATACCAAGGTAAAGTAATTACTCAACATTTCTACCATTCCCCAGTAGTCATTGACAGTATCCCCACTTTCAGTCTTTGGTGCTCACACTTTGGTCCTGATCACCTGCTTTCTCTTTACGTAACTATAAAATTTACTCTTATTGATTTTGATGGCCCTTGCAAGTTTCCTTTCATAATCGCCTTTAGTGCGACTTTTAAGCCACTTTGTGGTGCTTTGCTGGTCTTTGGATCTTTCCCATTCAGCAGGATCGGGGTTTTTTGTTTGCATTTTTGTAAGTTCCTTCTTTTTAATTTTACGCTGTCTCATATCTATTTCATCGTTCATTGCTGTTTCTTCTGTGAAGTGGAGTTTTTCCCTCTCAGGGGTTTGAACTGGTTTTTTTTATTGTGTAAACGTTTCTTTAAATATCCTCCATCATTCTTCAGTTGCTTTACCCATTAGCAGATTTTTCAGTTTACCGTAGACAGTCTCTGTCTCATCTCATTAAAGTCAGCCTGACCTGAATCTCAAACTCTATTAGCTGATTCATGCTTTTCACTTTTCAAATGCTGCACTGAATTCAATCATGTTACAATCATTATTTGATAACTCAAACCCTCCAGTCTTGGTAAGATTCTTGTAAATCTTTTTTGCAATTTAATAACTTTACAGTTTCATAACAGCCTTTCTATAGCAGGGCAACCAGAATCATATGCAATCGTCCAAATGTGTCCTGACCAATGTCTTGTACAGTTGTAAAATGACATCCCAACTCCTGTACTCAATGTTCTGACCAATGAAGGTGTTGTATACAGACCGCTGGAGCAGGTGAGACTTGAACCTGAGCCTCCTGGCTCAGAGGTAGGGATGCTACCACTGCTCAATTGCCCCCGAAGCACTCTGTCTTTATATAGTATAAAACATTGCCCTCTTTACATTTGTCTTTCTTGTGAATGCCCAATGAGTGCAAGATTAAAAGCTTCATAAAAATGTGTCCTTTTTTCCAGCAATACTCAAATCTTTTACACTGATTGTATATTTTATAACTAAGTTGCATATTGAGCCAGATTCTGCAGAAATCTTGAGATGTCATTTCAGTAGTAAATAACTGCAAATTCTGTGCCATGTACATGGTTTCTCAGTGCTGGAAGCACAAGATGTCTCAGACCACTATTACATTTGAGTATATTGCCACCTGGGGGCTGAAGTTCAATGGGGTGAATTTGTGCCACAATTAGAGTCAAAGAGGTCTGCAGCCCTTTGGCCCATCAGGTCTGCGCCAATCAAAAACAACCATCTATCTATTCTAATCCCATTTTCTAGCACTTGATCTGTAGCCTTTTGTAGAGTCATAGAGGTCTGCAAAGAATTCCATTAAGCTCCCTTTGAATCACATCTCAAGCACATCTGTGAGCCACCCCAGGAAAAATACTTTTGCTGTGGAGGAGATGCACACAGATTCACCAGAATGACACTGAACCCTGATGCATAACAGCAATTTGAGTGGAACATGTAAAAAAACTGCTGCAACTGCAAAAATAAAATGATGTCAAAAACTATGTGTCATTTCCTATTTGATGAATTTTTCATGAACTGTTAACTGACAGTTCTGCTGTACTGTAGTGAATGCTTTGCCATATCTAAAATTGTTTTCATATTCAGTATTAATCAATCATAAAAACATATTTGTAAAAGCAGGTTCACGTCAGA